GGAGGAGGAGGAGGAGCAGGACGATGAGGAGGAGGGGGAAGAGTAGAGGGAGGAGAAGGAGAAGAAGAAGTGAGGGGGAGAAGGCCAAGGAGGAGGAGGAGGAGGAGGAAAGAGGAAGGAGAAGGAGGAGGAGAGCGACGGAGAAAGAGGAGGCGGACCTAGGAGGGGCCAGGGCCGCACCGCGGACGCGGACGAATGCCCCCAGCATCTGATGGTGATGGGGCCCGATAAGTTAGCGCCCACTGCAGGCCGAAATCGAGGAACAAAGAATCGCGAGGATTGCAGAATCACGATCTCCACAAGTCTTCGTCCCACGCCCGCCCAGTCGCCAGCGCGGCGGCGCGGGCCGCCGCAGCTCGTGTTCAGACCACGGGACGGACCGACAAAGAAGAGCGGGCCAGGCAAGGGACGGAAGCGGGCAGGAGCGCGAGAAGCCGAGGAGCGAGAAGTGGAGGGGGAAAGGGAGGGAGGACGACAGAAAGGGAGGAGAGGCATCGAGGAGGATGGATGGAAAAGGAGGAAGGGAGGAAGGCACCGAAGCAAGAATGGAAGAAGAAAGAGGAGAAGAAGGGTGACCGGGTGGCCAGGTGACCAAGTGACGGGGTGATCGGATACAACCACAAGTACTACTGCAGAACAGACTACAGCTCCTACTACAGATTGTGCGACAAGTCATGCTACGGATCTTACCACTCTTACGACTTACCATGCTGCCAGCAGTCCTGCTGATCCTACTACAGCCATGAGCACAAACCCTGCCACCGATACTACAACTGATCCTAGTAGTGCTGGCCTCAGATATGGCTTGAGAAACCCAATATGGCGCAGGATAACTTCTCATGTGTTCCACAAAGCTCCAAGAACGCTCCAATACGGCTTCATGCGGTCACGGGGCTTCCGAGGACGCCCCCGACAGGCCAAAACAATCCAGGACCAAGATTGGATCCACTATTGAACCAACACGGACCTATGATCGCCTCAGAAAGCAGCATGTCGGTCGAAACACCACACGATGGCCACCAGAATGTCTCCACGAGGCCCCGAAGCAGATCCAACACGGCCCTTGATGTCATTCGAGCCTCCTCGTGATGCCCCCGAGATGTGCAAACATATACCAGACCATAGGAACAAGAACAGTGTTAGGGCGCTTGGATAGGGCGTTAGCTTAGGGTGTTAGTGTGACAGTGTTAGGGCTGGGGTTAAGGTATTAGGGATAAGACGGTACAGTGTTAGGGCCGGGGTGTTAGGATTAGGGTGGTAGGGTTAGAGTTGTAAGGTTAGAGTGCTAGGATTAGGGTACTAGGTTTAGGGTGTTAGAGTGCTAGGGTGAGGGCGCTATTGTGTTAAGGTGTTAGGGTGTTAGGGTGTTAGGGCCAGGGGTAGTGTCTAGGGTTGGCGTGCCAGGGCTGGGGTGCCAGGGTGGGGGTCGAAAAGAGGGTGCTGGGGTCAGGGTGCCAGGGCTGGAGCGATAGGGTGGTAGGGGTAGGGTCCCAGAGCCGTGGAGGCGGCGTGGCCCAAGGAGGGGGAGGAGGAGGGAGGAGGAGGGAGGAGGAGGGAGGAGAGGAGGAGGAGAAAGAGGAGGAGGGAGGAGGAGGAGGAGGGAGTCCGATTTTCAAGATGAGGGGGGGTCCAAACCTCCCACCCCCCCTTTGGGAAGGGAGGCGGGAGAGGCAGGGGTCCGAGAGCAGCCCCTCTTTTAAGGGGGGGGGAACGGGTGGAGGGGGGGCTGCGCGAGCACACTACGGGACGGGAAAACGACCACAGCCACTGCTTTTCTCTTGTTGCCGCCTTCCAGCCAGAAGAAACAAAGCAGTGGGAGTGGTCATTTTCGTTAAGCTTGGCACCAGGGAAACGACCACAACCGCTGCTTCTTTTTCGGCCGGCTGGAAGGCGGCGCAAACCAGAAGCAGTGGCTGTGGTCATTTTCCCGTCCCGCACACACACACATCCAATGGCACTCCTCCCCCATCTGTACCATCCTCCTTTCCGTCCTCCGCAGGGAGGGGGGGGACAGAGGAGAAGGAGGACCGGGGCGAAAGTTATCGGGACGTGGGTAGGCGTCAAGGCCCAACTCCCTCCAGGAGGGGCCGCAGGGAGCGACGATGGGGGACCGCCGAAGGGCCCGACGAGCAAAACGCGGCGAGGGCCTCCAGGAGGCGGAAGAATGTGGAAGAGGAAGGCGGAAGAGAGAAGGGGGCTGGGGGACGGAGCAGGAAGAGGGAGCAGGGAGGCAGGAGGCGGGAGGAGGGAACCGAACGGACGGAACAGGAATACCACCGCTGCGGACAAGCGTCCAGGCCTGGCTCAGGACCAGGCGGGCGAGGCCGTGGCGTCTGGCTTCTGGTGCAAGTGGCCAGTGCCAGTGCAAGGCGGGGACGGGAGGAGGTAGGATAAGGGGAGAGGGGAGGAGAAGAAGAGGACATGCTCCGTCGCGCTCACGCCCCCAGGCTCGCACCGTGAAGGGCTGGTAGAGGATCTCGGCAGCGAGGTTGCGGACGTCCTGCGGCAGCGCCGCCCGCGGGGACTGAAAAACAGCGCGCTTCCTCCGTCTGCTCTCTGCCGCCCCCCTTGTCAACAGAGCCAGGACAGGGACCAAATCGGACAGGGATAAATCGGGAGCGTCTGCGATCCGGCGGGTATGGAGGAAGTGTTGAGAGCCGCGGCCTTCTCAGAACGTTCCAGAACGCTCTGGAACAAGTGATCACTAAAATACCCAGCCCTACTTTCCCCCCCCCATTATCACGATCACTCACTCAGCCGCTGGTCTTCCGCTTCCTGCTGCTCCTGCCACCACCACCAGCACTGCTGCCCCTGCCACTGCTGCTGGGGCGGCATGCAGCCACCGATCCGGCGCTGCACCGCCCGCGCCTCTGATCATCACAAGGGCAGGCCCAAGCCGACCCAGCGCAGGAGAGCGCGCCCCGGCTGGAGACGCGCCTCGGCCGGGTCAGCGCCAAGCCCGGCCAGCCAGGGCCGCGTCGCGAACCCGGGCTGGCCACGCGGCGGAGGAGGAGGAGGAGGAGGAGGAGGAGGAGGAGGAGGAGGAGGAGGAGGAGGAGGAGGAGGAGGAGGAGGAGGGGGAGGGGGAGGAGGAGGAGGAGGAGGAGGAGGAGGAGGAGGAGGAGGAGGAGGAGGAGGAGGAGGAGGAGGAGGAGGAGGAGGAGGAGGAGGAGGAGGAGGAGGAGGAGGAGGAGGAGGAGGAGGGTGGGGGTCGGCCCCGCGTGGCTCCCAGACCTGGGCCAGCCTGGAGAGGTCGGAGGGGATCGGCCTGCCCTCGCTGGCGCTGGCGCCCGTGGCCTGCCGTGAGCGACCTCTGCTGTCCCTCGGACTCGAGCTGGACCTCTGCACGGCTTCTCCAGCGGCGTCCGGAGACCCTCGGGGCCTGCCTCGAGCTGCCCGGGGGTGCATCGGACTGCGCAGACCTGCCTCGACGTGTTCAGGCTGGTTCCAACATGCTGGTCTGAGAAGAGCCGTCGAGACCTTGGAGTTGTCGTGCTCCTCCGTTTCCTCCTTCTCATCATGCTCCTCCCTCTCCTCCTCCTCCTCCCCCTCCTCCTCCTCCTCCTCCTCCTCCTCCTCCTCCTCCTCCTCCTCCTCCTCCTCCTCCTCCTTCTCTTTTCCTACTCGTATTCCTCTCCTCGTGCCACTCCTCCTCTGCCTCTCATCCGCTTGTTTACTCCCACCCCAGGGGAAGACGGCGAACGAGCTTCCCACCCTCCGACACCTTGTGTTCCCTCCTCCCAGACATCTTTTGCATCTAGGCTGGGAGTATTATCTCGAAGGGTTCAGCCTTGGCGAGCATCACGCGCCTTCGCCAAGTCGGCATGCGACTCTGCGTGTGAAGAGCCGACACGTGCATCGTGTCCTCTGTTCACTGTATTCAGGCAACACATGCATCGTGCGTATGGAGAGGCAACACGTGTATCGAGTGGCAGTTCCACGAGGCGCGAACTGGAGTTTCCTCCAGGTCATCATGTGTCCTCTGTTCTCTGTACTCAGGACTCTGGGAATATAGTAATCTAAGGGCTGGGACACCAAATTCCCAAATTTCCTGGGCGCTCCCGCGGGTTCCTGGGCTGCCTCGCATGACTTTTCCAGGGACCAGAGGGCCCCAAGACAGGCCAAGAGGGCCCCAGAAAGCGTCCAAGACGGTCCAAGAGGCCTCCAAGACAGCCCACGAGCGCTCCAAGACACCCAAGATGGCCCCAAGACGTCCAAAGAGGCCCCAAAGAAACCCCAAGAACGCTCCAAGAGGACCCTCAAGAGGGCCCGCAGAGGCAAAAATAATTGATGGTCCTTGTGTTGGTCGATGTTGGGCGACCAAGATCTCCCAAGAGGGCCCCAAGACGGCCCCAAGAGGGGCCCAAGAGGGGGAACACGGATCGACTATCCGAGCCTTCCGCCCCAAGAGGCCCCCAGGAGGCCCCACGAGGCCCCAAAGAGAGCCCAAGAGGTTCCTTAGAGGCCCCAAGAGGCACCCAAGAGGCCCAAAAAGAGGCCCCGAGGGGCACCCGAACGGCCCCCAAGTGCCCTCAAAACTGCTTCCAAGAGGCCCCCGAGAGGCCTCCCACGACATCCAAACGAACATCCAAGAAGCTTCCAGCCCACAACCCAGGCACGGTGGCGGAGTGGACCGAAGGAACTATATCCGCCGCGCCCTGTCGATTCATCGCAGGGGTGCCTGGCGTGCTGAAGCATGTCGGTTTTGGTTTAGGTTCTTTTTCCACAAGAACTCCCCTTGAGGCTTCGGCCCGTCCCGCCGGCCACCCGAAGGACCCCAATGTTCCCGATGTTTCGTTCAAGATGGCCCAAGATGGTCTCCAAGATGGCCACGTTGGCAGATGGCCTCCAAGATGGTCCAAGATGGCCTCCAAGTCCGCCCACGATGGTCCAAGACGGCCTCCCATGACGGCCCAAAAGAATCCAAGATGGCCGAAGACGGTCCCAGAGGCCCCCCAGAAGCCTCCAAGACGGCCAAAAAAGGCCTCCAAGAGGTCTTCCAGGAGGGCCCAAAGAGGCCGCAATCATTGATGTTCCATGAGGTGTTGAAGGATTTTCGATGTCGTTGCTGCTCGGCTTCCCGACGATCCAAGGCGGACGAAGCCGACCCAAGATGCCTCCTGGAGCACCCCGAAAGGGCCCCAAGTCGGCCCAGAAAGGCCCCCCAAACGGTTTCCGACGGCGTCAGACGGGCCAGGAGCCCACCAAGATGGCCGAAGTTGGCTCGCAGCTGGCCCAACTCGGCCCAAGAGGCCAAAATGGCCCCCAAGAAAAACAAAAAAGGCCAAAAACACTGATTTCCTCTGGTTTTTGAAAAATTTACACATTTGCTTCTTTTCCTCCTGCCGAAGACCCGATACGGCCCAAGAACCCCCAATGATCGCACAAAGATCGCCAAAGAAGCTTCCAAGATGGCCCCAAAACGGCCCAAGAGGCCCCCAAGGCGGCCCCAAAAAGCCCCCAAGATGGCCCAGAAGGCCTCTGAGACGCCCAAGATGGCCCCAAGACGGCACTGGAGCATTCCAAGAGGGCCCCAAGTCGGCCCAGAGGGGCTCCCCGCACGGCTTCCGACGGCGTCAGACGAGCCAGGAGCCCACCAAAACGGCCGAAGATGGCCCTAAGATGGCCCAGGACGGCCCAAGAAGTTTGAAGGGGACCAGTAGGCCCGACCAGCAACTACGCCTTAGGCGAAGCACAGTTCCTGCTCTGTTGTACCGTAGTAACGATAGTCCCACTAGTAGGTGGTCGTCGCGGGAGCGACGGACCATCTCAAGCGAAGGATGTTTTCGGCCTCGATGGCGAATCGTATACCTCGCACTGAGGTATAATCAGATATCGGCGGCCGGCCGCTTGAGCACAAACGGCAGCGGACAAACGCTCGTTACCTCTCGCCTTTGTCCCAGCTCATTTTAGAGTCGGGGGGGAAGGGAGACGAAGCGTGAGTCCGCCGCCATTATACAGCAGATACAGCAAATACTATGTACACAAGGCAGCAAAAGGCGGGGCCGCCAGGAAGGTGGACCCGCAAGCAAGTTGCCCTGCAAGCACACTGCTGTGCATGTGACTACTCCTGAGGCGGCCACAGACCAAGATGTCTGGCCAGCACGATAAGGAGCGTGACGTTTTAAGTCATGCTTGAAGGATTGCGTACCTCCCGCGACCTGTAGGAGCATATCTCTGTCAATGCTCCCATTTGTGTGACCATCTGCGGTCATGTCGTGATTGTCACACCACTAAATGCGATCCACGATTTCTCGATCTATCATTTGTCGCATCCTTCTGATGTGCCCTAAAAAGTCGGCTTCTTCAGGTCTTTGCTTGACAAGGACTTGAAAACCGATTCTGCATATATGGTCAAGATGACCTTGGTGCTGAGGCCACCCAATTCAAGTATATAGTTCAACTGAGTGGGGGTCAACCGAGCTGCATGGAGCCCGCGCAGAGTCACGATCGCGGGATAGCAGTCCTCCAAATTGTGGGCTGCTGCAGGTGTCGCTGCCGAATAGCTTGAGCGGACCTGCAAGCGGTGAAACTTGCAGTACGCATCGATCAAGTCGACGACAGGCTTACCGGATGGCGTGGTTCCACGTCGTAGCAAGCTTGCGCGGCAAATACCATAGCCTTTGACTTCGCCATCGGCATCTCCACTCAGGCGTCGATAGCCGGAGTCGCTGCGCAGGTCAACTTCGCCCGTTGGAGTCATCGATTGATAAGGGATCTTCTTTGGCAGGCCTGCGACTTCCTGGTGGAGGCGCTGAGTCGTCGCGCTGGCATACTGGTCGGTTCCTGGACACGTTGCACAGAGATCACATATACCATCAACCACACTTGGATGATTAATGCGCAAGCCAATGCGCCTCTGTGGCTGACGAACACGTCTGCAACCATCCTGGATGCCTCGGCGTCAGCGTCGGCGCCAGTGAGTTCAGGATGTTGCATAGGACGCAGCTGCCTGATGTATTCACCTTGGTCCAATGTGACATTGTCGCTCCCATTCTGCGTGTATCTCACAGCATAAGTGGTGCATGTATGTTTGTTGAACTTGCACTTACCGAAAGTATCCTCGGCGCACTTGACGCACTTGTCAATGGTGTCCTCGCTACCGGCCATACTGATATGATCAACATGTTTGGCTGCGAGCAGGTTACTGCTCGCCTCGAACTCCTCGTCGTAGGACGCGGGCGCGAGACCAAAGCCTCTCGTGGTCCTTCTGAGCTTCAGTGAAAAAGCTCTGGGTGCATCCATGGTGCCGGCGCCTGGCTTGAGGCACTGCAGGCAGTGCTTCGACTAGCCGCAGTGCTCGAATCCTGAGATTGATCGAAGCACCGTTGCCGATCCAGGAGGCGAGGTAAAGCACACCACACGCTCCTTCTCACCAGTTGCCTGAGCAAGTTCCTGGTAGGTTAATCCCTTCAGGAAAGCCATGTTGATGACGAGGGAAGCAATGATCCATTGCTTCTTGCACGCTGCCGAGCTTGCGCGTAATCTCCAGCATGGCCG